GGGGGGGGAGGGGAGGTGCCTCGCTCAGACCATCGCCCACCGCGGGGATAGGGGGAGTGGAGAGGGCCTCCACTTCCATAGTCACACCTCTCACCTAGGCCAAGTGACCTTCTTTGCCTTGAGGAGAGCCTTAAAAGTTCTCCGAAACGCCTCACAGTCACAGATTTCTGAATGAATTTGGGGGTACAACGTCACTGGTGATGAGGCAGCAGCTAGAGACCTTGTGGCGGCCTGCTCATGGCTTACCTTGCACAGTCAGCTTTAAAGTACCTGGATTTTAAAGGATGGATTACTCAGCAAAAAACAAACAACAACAACAACAAAAAACAACCAAACAAAAAAACCACACACCAAAGCACTTCCTTAAATGTCACACCTGGAAAGGATTTCTGATGATTTCCCCACTTCATGCAGTTTCACACCTGGAGTAACTGTCATGCAGTTTGTCTCATAGCTACAATTTTAGCTAGTTTTGTTAGCATTAAAGTTAGCAAGGCTTGTTAACCATTGGCATTAGCTGAACTTTTGATATAGGGTCTTCCATACGAGCATTTCGTTGTGTACTCAGCCAGATGGTTGGCCTTGGGGATGTTTCTTTACAAGTGCTGGGGAGGAACTTCTAAGACATTTTCACAGATAACAAGGATTCTATCCTTGAATCCATAGTGAAAGAACTCCTCATCAGGGAAAGCAAGTATTGTTATCGTTCTTGAAGTGAAACATCCTGGAGCATTTGAGCATACCAACCCTGAAAATGCTACTAATCTACATGTTTTGAAACTTGGCAGAAAAGTGAAAATTCTGAGTGTCCTAAGCCAAACTGCCTTCATTATAATACAAAAAATCACGCCCATAGGTCAAGAAGACCCTGGCCCAGGTGAAGACCCTTGTCTTGAGCATGCTTGATAGCTATAACTCAATCATGCAATCAGATGTAAATTACTACCAAACAAATAGAGATAGGAGGTACTAATATGATAATGATATTATAAAATGTGTATATAAACCATGCGGGGAGTCCTGTTCTGTGTGCATGTTTTGTGGAAATATTCCACCTTGCACCCTGGCCAGAATAAAGCAATGTCTGCTCTCTAAACATAGTCTCTGTGTTTCAGGAAAATCGTAACTTTAGCCTTTTCACAGGTAACAGTTTTGGTGACCCAGATGGGACTCTGTTTTTGAGATCAGACTCTGCTCATCTCCTGCTGCCGTCAGTGAGAATCGCTCGTCGGACTCCAGCACGCACTAGATACTTTGTCCGGGGACTCCACTGCGATTTTCCCGGTGGTTGGTGAGTGACTGGCTGTGTCAGGTCATTAGAAAGAGATATTGCTCATTAGCATATTCCTGAGTAACTCGTATCCATTAAAGGTACCTTTCTGGTTTTAAAGGTACGTTTCTGGTCTGACACCCCATTTGGTATCTCTCTTGCTTTATTACAGTGGCTACTGGAGCAGAGAGACTGGTTTTTGGTTAATGATTTTAGTGCACTCTGGTATCTTATCTTAAACTGTTATAATGGGAAATGCTATGTTTTCTGCGGAAGGGGGGGTAATTAAGGCATCTCCTTTGGGATGTATTCTGAGTCATTGGAGCAAATTTGGAGGAGACACCCTAACTCGGAAAAAACTCACTATGTATTGTAATCAATGGTGGCCAAAGTATACTCTGGAAGATTAGGAGAAATGGCCGAAAAATGAAACTCTGAATTATAATACTGTTTTACAGTTGGTATTATTATTCTGTAGGAGGCAAGGAAAATGGGATGAATTACCGTATGCTGATATGTTCTTTGACTTGCGGAAATGATTGGAAAAGTCAGAAAGAATGTGGTTTGGTACCAAAGGATGCAAATGTGTTAGCTTTGGAAAGTCTTAAAGAAACCATTAAAAAGATATTGCTCTGCTTGTAGTATAGGACAGCAATGTCAGAAATACAAGGGTGTTTCAGAAGAAAGGGAAGATGTGCAATTATTGGTTACTTCGAGAAGAGGGACAGGTGATAACAATAATGATTGTGAAATTGGAATATTGAAAATATTGAAAGTAGCAGTGATGAGGAAGAAGATTGAGGGAGGAATTTTAGTCCTATAGCGGGTCAAATAAGGAGAGGAAGAGCAGTTCTGAAGGCACCTATGAGGCAGGCAGTAGGACCGCAAAGGGAACTGGTGTATGTTAAGGTTCCTTTTTTGATGGCAGATTTAAAGGCTTGGAAAGAAATGGCAGGGACATACAGGGAGGATCCTGGAAAAGTGGCTAAGGTGTTAAAACAATAATTGACAATCATGATCCAGACTGGAAAGATATTCATGTGGTGTTGAGAAATCTGATGACATACGAGGAGCGAAGGGCAGTTTTAGTTAAAGCTAAGGAAGAAGCAAAAAGAGTACATGCTCGGGTTGCACAGGCAGGCAGGATAGAAGATCATTTCCCTTCCACCAACTCCAGTTGGGACCCAAGTAATCGGGTTCAGAGGTTATTGTTAAGTGAGTATCAAAGATTGGTATTGTTTGGTGTAAAAAATGGAATACCAAAATTGAAAAATTTGTCAAAACTACATCAGGTGGTACAAGGGAACAGTGAGGATCCACCCATGTTCTTTGAACGTTTATGTGAAGTAGCCAGAAAATATACAGAATTAGATCCTGAAAAGGAAACAAATTTGTAAATTTGTTTGTGGGACGATCTAATCCAGACATTCAAAAACAGTTGCAAAAGATAGAAGGAGTGGATGCAAGGTCTCTTGATAATTTATTAGAGGTGGCTTGGAAAGAGTATAATAATAGGGAAGAAGAGAGGAGGAGGCAACAAGAAAAAGAACAAGTTAAAAGAGAAAATAGGAAGGCACGATGGTTAGCCGTGGCTATAGCTGAAGATAACAGAAAAGGTAGAGGACAAGGAGGTGGATTTAGAACAACTCTCCCCACCCCTGGCCCCGGGGAGTGTAGTAAGATCCCCTTCAGACAGGGAAGGAGTAAACCTCTAGATAGGGACACATGTGCATACTGCAAACAGAAGGGACACTGGAAAAGGGAGTGTCCCCAAAACAAGACTCGGGGAGTTCAGGAAAATCCCCAGATAGCACTTGTTAGCATTAGAGCAGGATTCGGATTGACAGGGATGGGGGTTAGATTCAAAATATTCCCCAACAGAGCCCCTGGTTACCAAAAAGTTGGGGAACGAGAGACTAAACATTTTGATTGATACAGGAGCCACATATTCAGTATTAAACACATGTAAAGGCAAATTCAGTGAACAGGAAATGCCTGTGATTGGGCCAACAGGGAGGGAAGAAATAAGGCCTTGCTTTCAGCCAGTTAAATGTGGAATTGGAAACGGAGTTTTTACTCACAAATTTCTATATGTTCCTGATTGCCCAATGCCTCTATTGGGAGGGGATTTGCTAAGTAAATTGGATGCTCAAATAACTTTTGAAAAGTCAATATACGTGTACAAATACCAGAAGAAAAAGCTGTGGAAGTGCAAGTTTTTCCATTACACAAAGAGACACCCAGAACTGAAGAGTTTCCAGATGAAGTACTGAATGCGGTAACTCCTTTGGTGTGGGCTTCAGGGATTGCCGGACAATCCAAAGCTGCAGAACCAGTAACGATTGCCTTAAAGACTGGAGTTAAACTGGTAAGACAGAAACAATCCTCAGTTAAGCTGGAGGCAAGAAAAGGGTTAGAACCCTTGACTGAAAACTTTATGACTCGTGGACTTTTTTGAAAATGTCAGTTAGAATACAACACTCCTATTTTGCCTGTAAAGAAACCTCATACAAATTAGTATAGGTCGGCTGAAGATTTATGAGTTGAGAATCAGATTGTGCAAGAAGTCCACCCTGTGATAGCAAACTCTTATATGCTCTTGACCACAATTAAAGAAACTGACCAGTGGTTCACTGTTTTAGATTTGAAAGATGCTTTCTTTTGTATACTATTAGAAACGGAAAGTCAGAAACTATTTGCATTTGAATGGGAAAACCCGAGGAGAACAAGAAGAAAGACACAATTGTGCTGGACTGTTCTCCCTCAGGGACTTGAAAATAGCCTGACTATTGTTGGAAACCAATTGGCCAAAGAATTAGAGACCTGGCAAGAAGAGAATCCAAAAGTAACTTTGTTGCATTGTGTTGATGATACCTTGCTGGGTACCTGGACTCAACAAGAGCCAATTCAATTTAGTATCAGCCTTTTGAATTTCTTGGGAGCAACTGGATATAGAGTATCTAAGAAAAAAAACTCAGATTGCTAAACAAACTGTAATCTATCTTGGTTTTACTGTTGCTCAGGGACAGCGGAGTTTAGGTACAGAAAGAAAGGAGGCAATCCGCCAAATACAGGAGCCGGCTTCAAAGCGAGAATTAAGAGCATCCCTTGGTACAGCCGGATGGTGTCGCCTGTGGATCATCAATTTTGGATTGATCGCCAGACTGCTTTATGACGCTGTAAAAGGTACCGGGGAATTTCTAGAATGGACACCTGAGTGTCAGGAAGCCTTCCACAAGGTAAAAAAAGCCTTCCACAGCAGGCCTGTGCCTGCTTTAGGACTTCTGTATTTGGAAAAAAAAAAAATTTGAACTCTTTGTTAATGAAAGGCATCCTATTGCTTGGGGAGTCCCAGCCCAAAAATTTGGGTCATGGAAGTGACCTGTGGGATATTTTTCCAAAGAATTCGATCAAGTGAGTCAGGGATGGCCTTCTTGTTTAAGGGCAGTAGCTGCTACCGTGCTGCTTATACAAGAGGCACGCAAACTGACTTTGGGACAGAAAATGATAGTTCAATTACCACACACGGTAACTACAGTTTTGGAACAGAAAGGAGGACATTGGCTGTCCCCTAGCCCAATGATGAAATGCCAGGCTGTGTTTTTGGAACAGGATGATGTTGAATTGGAAATTACTACAACTCTGAATCCTGCCACCTTATTGCCCGTGCCTGGTGAGACAGAATTAGTGCATGACTCTTTGAAAACTATTGAACAAGTGTATTCAAGTAGAATTGATTTGAAAGACTTACCATTAGACACAGCTGAATTAAATTTGTTTGTGGATGGAAGAAGCCAAGTAATTGATGGAACTCGGAGGGCTGGATAAGCAATAGTTACAGATGCAGAGGAACTAGAAGCAAAACCTTTGCCAGCTAACACCTCTGCCCAAAAGGCTGAGCTGATAGCTTTAATAAGAGCCCTGGAATTGGCAGAAGGAAAAAATGTGAACATTTGGACAGATTGAAAGTATGTATTTGGAGTAGTTCATGCCCATGGAACACTTTGGAAGGAAAGGGGATTGCTTTCAGTGCAAGGAACACCAGTAAAATATGGGGAACTTATTTGAAAATTATTGCAAGTAATCAACTTACCTAAACAAGTGGCAATAATGCATTGCAAAGCTCATCAATTTGGTAACACTACAGTAATAATGGGAAACAGATGAGCTGATCAAGCTGCAAAAAGGGCAGCTGAACAATTAATATTGGGAATGTGGCCTGAAAAATATAGGGAATTGAGTGAGCTTCCTGAATATAATAGAGAAGAAAATCAATTACCCCAGCTATGGAATGCCAAAAAGAACAAAGAGGCATGATGGATCACAGAAGACAATCGAATAATATTACCTTCAGTGATTTTAAAAGAAGTTATGGAAAAAAAGCATCAAAATACTCACTGAAGAATAGAAGCTATGGTTGATAATTTAAAATTACAAATCCTGGGTGTAGGAATGGGAGGAATAGCAAAAAGCGTCATGAGAAGATGTGAGATATGTCAGAAAAACAATCCTCAGATGCAACCTAGACCACCTCCCAGAAAAATCAAGAAAGGGAACACACCCAGTGATTATTGGCAGATAGACTTTTCTGAACTTCCGAGGCAAAATGGGTATCGATATCTATTGGTGTTAGCAGACGCTTTTTCTGGATGGCCTGAAGCTTTCCCTTGTCGCACCAACCAGGCAAAAGAAATGGTTAAAATTTTGCTAAAAGAGATTGTTCCTAGATTTGGTATTCCTATAGGGAGGTCTTCTGATAGAGGACCCCATTTTGTACCCAGGATAATGTAAACATTAGCAAATGCATTGGATTCAATGGGATTTGCATACTCCATGGAGACCACAATCTAGTGGTAAAGTGGAGAGGATGAATCACACAGTTAAGAGGCAATTAAACAAAATTTGTCAAGAAACCCAGCTAAAATGGCCAGATGCTCTTCTGTTAGCATTGTTGAGAATCAGGATTACTCTTAAATCTAAGGAAAAGGATAGCCCATTTGAAATAACGTATGGGAGACCTTATCAAAATACAAACCATGAACCAGCATCTGAAGAAATAATCGGGAAGCAATATCTTAAAGAACATGTAATTTCTTTAGGGAAGGTTTCGTTTTCTCTCAACAGGTATCTTCAACCCAGAGCACTT